TTGGCTTTGATCAGCTTCTGAACCGAGCCGCGCACTCGAGGGAATGCGACGGCGAGGGTGCGTAGATGCAGACAGTTAGGACCGTCGCTGTCCTGGGGCCTCCCGTACTCGGGTTCCCGTCGAGGCAGCGCCCACAGGGCAGTCGACACGCATTGGCCGGCGAGGTCAAGCACGTGAGATTGGGAGAGCGTGGAGGACTTCGCGAATGTTATAGAACAGCTCGTCTTCATTCTGATGGACGACCAGGCGCGTGATGTTCGCGCCGTGCATGCGGAATACGGGGGCGCAGTCCGGTGTGGGCGGCCCCTGCCACTTCGATGTTGAAAGCGCGAATCGAGCGAGCGCGACGTCGTCCTTAAAGGTAGTGACCTCCGTGGTCTTCCATCTGCTGGAGCCGGAATCGCAGATGCGTGCCATGTTCGCGCTCTGGACGCGTTCCTTGAGCTTCTCGTTGCTGCCGACGAAATCTTGTAGTGTCATACTTTTCGCGATGACTTCGATGGTGATGGGAAGGGGGCAGGAGAGGCAACGGAGGTAGAGGCGCGACGAGGGATAGATACCGGTGTTGACAACAACGTTTTGCAAGGCGGGCATGGTCGCTGGATCGACGTTGTCCCATAAAGACGATTCAGGATTGGGAAGACAGCACTCGATCGGACCTCTATCGACCTCTTCACCGTCGGCATCATAGTCGTACAGCTTCTCGAAGTCCCCACCGACAATCCAAAACTTGAGGCGTTCAAGCGCGGGACATTGAGACAGCGCTTTGGCAAAGTCGGCCAGGTGGTCACTAGTGAACTGCGCGGGGGTGACGCACACGTCGCGTAGTGTAGGAGTGGCGAAGTACGGGAAAATGTCGATGGGGATGCACCGGATGGTGTGGAGGCGAGGGAGGGCTGCGGTGTCAAGCACCGGGGCTTGTGTCTTTTCGCTCCACCTCTGCAGATCCCACTCGAGCTGCCCTTGGATTTCGGATCGGTCGGCGATAGTGTGGCCAAAGTCGTCGTCGTGTGCGTCCTCGCGGAGCGGCAGCCAATCTTCGTACATCCCCACGTAGCCCGGAAATGTAACGCCGAGCACTTCGAGATTGGGCGCCCCCGAGTTGAGGAACTTGCACAGAGTGGAGAGAGAGGATGCACCGTCCAGGCGGACGTAAAGATCAACGAGGCGGGCGGCATGTGGAGCGAGCGTGGTGGCGAAGCGATCGAGGAAGTGGTAAACTTTGAGACGAAGAGGCTGAGGAGAAGATCGTTCGAGGGCAAACGTTGCGAACCCGCGGCGGCTGGATCTACATCCCAAGTATTGGGAGAGCAACTTCCCAGGCGAGGCGAGGGCGGCGGCCCACAGGCTGGGAGTCTTGAGCGCGATTGAACGCCAGTGACGGCAGACATGAGCAACGGCAATGCTTTGAGGATCTTTCCAACAGTGTGAAAAGATCTCGGAGAGAACTTCTGTGGGGAAGGCGCGGTGGATGGGCGCGACGGCATTGTAGATGGAGAGGAGGGCTAGGGCGATGTCGCGGTACTCTTGGGCTCGGGGGACCACCCATGCGCGCACGGCGTCGTCAGACAGACCGGCTAATGCAGCATGATCTGCAGCAGGGATTGAGCATGAGAGGAAGGGAACGGCGACAGTCATGAAAAGCAGTTCGGGTTTCCACCGCGCGCAGATGGTAGTTGCGATGAAACAGCAGCAGGCGCCAAATCGCGGCTGTCTCTCTCCTCTTTCTCTCCTCGACCACGATTACATCTACCTCGCTCGTTCTGCTCTTCGCCTGCACTCCCTCGCCGCATCCAGGCCTTATCAAGACATAAGAATCATCAGACACATGTTGAACATCGGCCGGCTGGCGTTCCGCTCTCTGTCCGCCGTTAGGAGAGGAGAAGGAGAATGAGAAGGGATATCAGAAGTCTACAGGTGCGCGTACGTTTCCCCTTAGCCGTCCTCCTGCGTTCTCTCGCTTCCCAATATTTTTGCACTTCGTACATCTCGTACCGCGTTCGAAACAATCGTTGCACGTCAGGATCGACTTCGTCAGTGTGTGGCACATCCCGCAAGGAGCGTGTCATTCGGGTCATTTGTAGATAGGGCGTGCCTCCGCACGTTGTACACCTCTACCCCGTACCCTCACTTTCTTTCAACGCGGGGCCCTAGATGTCCTTAGGAAATACATTTCTGCATCGCAAGTGCCAGGACCCATCGCCGCGTCTCCAATCGCAGCCGCGCTCCATGCGCGGTGCTCATCTGCGTCTGAACAAGATGTTCTCCTGAGTATGTACTTCCTCACCTGTGCCAATCACGCCCTACCACGCTCGCAAGGATCGACAGAGATTAGGCCGTCAACTTATTAGTGGGGTGGTATAAGTAACGACCACCGAGCATCCTCGCAGGCTGACGGGGGTCTCTATCTACGGCGAGATGGGCAAGCATCCGATGAGAACGAGACAATCCTGCGTTCGCAACCAAAGTAAGCAAGCACGACCGAACGTCCGAAACAACGACACTCATGTTCTCACAGCGCACAGCCGGGGCCTGGCCTACGACGAAGATGGGCGAGGATCCGAGGCCGATCGGGATGGTGGCGTCGTGGGGGACGATGCCAGGATGGCGGCGGACGACGCTTCGCTCGCCTGGTGAGCATCCTGAGGTGAATATCATGGGTGCGATGGACATCGAGGGAGGGACTCAGTCTCCGAAGTTTGAACGCTGTTGCAGCGTTGGACCGGGCCGGTGTTGAAACTTCCGGGGCCCAGGGCTGCGATACGGCTGCGACGAGGCCGGCGAAGACGAAGGCGGAAAAGGCGAGCACGGGGGAGAACGTAGTCAGGGCGACGAGGGAAGGAGTACAAAAGCGAGAGCGCGGTGAGTGCGAGATGCGAAGGAGGGAGGTGAGTGTAAGGGACGCTGACGAGACCTCACTGCTTGGTGCAGATTATGGGCGAGATCACGCTTCATTGCGCCCCGGCGGCTGAGCGTCGAAAGGTCCGCATGTTAGGAGGCGAGGTGAAGGGCGTACATACGCAGATACGTCCGGGAGACGCACTGTTCGTGCCACTCTGGAGGCTAAAGCCTAGTGCCAAATACGCCCGTTCTTGCTCGCAGTAAATGGTCAGTTTCTAGCCTCATTGTTCGCAGGTGACACGCGCAGGGTAAAACCGAAACGGAAAACATGCATTAAGAGGAGACGTAAGATCATCGACCAAGACATCCAGACATAACAGCTACGACATGAGCACCAAAACGCGAGACTAAACGCTTAGAGCGTGACCGGGACGCAGCCAGCAGAAACGCCGCCACCCTGCAGAGCATCATGTGAGCATACGATCTACTGTGACAACGACGAAACACTCACGATGTTGTTGTTCTTGCAACACACCGTGTTCGTCGTGCACGCCTTTCCCGAGCCGACAGCGACCACGTCGATCGGCGAGCACTTCAGCCCGAGCTCCACGTTCGTGTTCTGCAGCGTCGCACCGATCGCCGCCAGGATCGCAGAACCGGCAGCCGAGTTCGCCTAGACAAAACCAAGGATCAGCCTCACACACTAGACCAGCAGAACGTCGGACGGCACTCACGCTCTCCATGCTCTCGCAGCACTGAACGGGGCCAGTGTTGCACTTGGTCGCCGTGGCAAGGGCGGCGAACGCGAGGGTAGAGACGACGGCGAGGCGAGCGAACATGGCGATCAGCGAGGGGCGGAAGGTGAGAGGGATAGCGGAGAGACGAAGGGCTGAAGCTGGTGAAGACTGGTGCTGAAGTCTGACCGGGTCCCAGGGAGGCTTATATACGTTCTGCTGGCGGTCGGTGCGCTGGCACCCCAGCGCACCTTGACGGCTAGCATTTTGCTGTGCGAATAGGTCGGTGAGTCGAGCCAAGCGTCGGAGCGGAGCGCGCACTTACCCGTGTCTTCCCAGCTGCCGGGGCGGGCGCGACACGACGCGAGTTCTCAGAATGGATTGCTTCACATGATCGCGTACGGGCTAGCGTCGCTCGGCACGCTCCTCCCCGCCTCCTGCCACCTCTTCGAGATCTCCAACTCCCGCGTCGCCGCCACCGTCCAGCTCCAGCTCTGGGTCTTTCCCTTGCTTGTCGCGCTCTACACCTTCAGCGCCCAGACGAGCCAGTGGGTGCACTTCGCCGTCGTCTCGCTCATCAACGGATTCTCGTATGTGCACCCGGTGCAGGTCGCGTGGGCGTCGACGAACTCGTCTGGGGTCGGGACGTGGACGGTTTGCGTCGCTTTACAACATGTTCGTGCAGGCGGGCGGAATCATCGCGGTGCGGAGCGCGTCAAAGGCGTCTGGGAAACGCGCGCTGACCAATGTACATTCTCTTCCAGGCAAATATCTACCGGGGAGACCACAACGTAGGTCGCCTCCGAGCCCAAGTTCGGTTTGCACTCCGGATCCCCGCGGTTGCCCACGGCCTCCTTTCGTTCTGGGCAGCCTCCCTGTGAGTGGCGCGAGCACACCGATGGTATGCGCGTGCGTGCACGTACTTATGCTGACACCGCCGTGCAGACAAACGCGGGAACCGCGCGCTCATCGGGATCACTGTGATGAACATCGTTCTCTACTTACATATCCACCTATGCGTTCTAACGCACGGGGTAGACGAAAGAGGTGCGTGGGCGTGCGGGGTGTTTTTGTTCGTGCCAGGGTGGTGCTGACCCGCGCGCGTGGGGGTGTGCAGGGGCAGCAGCGCTACCTGGAAGCGACGAGGGACGAGGTGCGTGGTAAGTATGACCGTCGTGTGTTATGCGCGCCGTTCACGTCTGTGCCTTTGAGCCCCTCCGGGCGTACTAGTATCGGCGCGGCTAGTAACTGGCGCTTCTCCGTGAGAGCCAGGCGACGAGGATTGGGCGCCTGCGATCGCGCCGGCGCGGTTCGCGCGTGTTGCTCCTGGCCACATCACGGACAGCCCTCAGTACTCAGTCGCTATATGGTGAGCTGCTCGCATCGTGTAACAAATCTGAGTTGACGATACGAATATCCACAGTCATGGCCACCGTTAACATCCTTCCCTTTCCCGCCTTCGCGCGCTCCATCCCTGCTGCCGATCGTGCTTCACTGTCGGGACTCTCGGACGCTGCCATTCGTGAATGGGTCGTCGCCAAAGCAGAGGAGTACCGCGAGATTGCACTGTCTCTGCTATCTCTCCACAACTCAATCGCGCCGATCCATCGAGCTTTGCCAACGGAACTCCTCTCCGAGGTTCTGTCATACTGCTGGGACGACATGCGCAGTGTCCGCCTTATGCACGTCTGCCGTCTCTGGCGCGCGATAGCCCTCAAAACACCGCGGCTGTGGGCAGAAGCCGCCGCAGCTCCGGGTACCCAATTCACATTCAACAAGGCCAGGATACACGCGCAGTGCCAAGACCTGGAGGAGAACCGCATCTCGTTTGCGGCCACCGCGATAGAACTCTCGTCTCCGGCACCGCTGCGCCTCAAGATCCATTTTCTCCCCAACGCCCTATCCCAGACACTTTCATCGCACACCTCCCGACTCGTCGATTTGTTTGTCCGCCTCAAAAGCGTCGCCCAGCTCAAGTCTCTGTGCGCACTTCTTTCCAACGGCGTACCCAACCTCAACGTCCTCGGTATCGCGTTTCCCGGGTATACAGGGATGAACCGAGAGTGGCTGGTTCCGGGAACCAGAACCCACTACGACGACATCGACGAGCAGGGCGACCAACGGAACCTCTCCAAGGAACTCACCAAATGGAGCTCGGATGTTCAAGGCCGGATCGCGGACACTCCTCGTCTTCAGACGCTCCGATGCGTTCCGATCGATCTTGTGTCTCACTTTGCTTGCCCCACCGTACGCGACATGTGCATCACTCCCGCGATATTCAACCCGCATCATTTGGAGGGCTTCGTTCACGCGTTGATGAACACTCCGGACCTCACGCGCCTTGATGTATGCATGATGAACAGGAGCAATGTCCGGCTGAGGCCAGACGATGACGCCCCCGGGTGGACAGCCAGCCCCGTTGACCTTCCGGCGCTGCGGACCTTGGTCGTCAACCTCGACAGTAACATGAACACGGCAATGTACCTGGACCTTATCTCTATTTCGTCCTCCGTCAGCATCAACCTCACGCAAGGCGAACGCGGTCTTTCGTACCTCTACCACCGCCTCCGTTCTCGCCACACCCCGTTCATCCAAGCTCAAGTGCGGTCCGCGAGAACCGTGAACATCTGCGACTCCCACGACCAGTGGAACATCCCCACCACTGTCGTTTCGACGTCGAAGGACGGAGAGCAGCTCATCCGCTTCACCTTCTCCGCCGGTTCGCGCGGTAGGCCTGGCAATCTAGAATCGTTCGACTTCATCGAGATCTTCCGGCACACGGGCGCGGCCGTCACCCACCTTGTCCTCCACCAGAACTGGGAGATCGAGACCCCGAGCGCGCAGCCCCACGTCTTCCGCGCGTTCCCCCACCTCACCTCGCTCGACCTCGCCGGCCGGCCCCCTCGCCCACCGCGTCATCACGGCGCTCCTGCACCCGGACGTCGACGGGAACCCCGACGCGCTCGTGTGCCCGCGGCTGGGGACGCTCAAGGTCGCGTTCGGGCTGAACTGCGGGGACGACAAGTCGGCGTCGCGCAAGGCGTGGGCGGCGCTGCGGGCGCGGCCGGTGGGGTGGAGGGAGACGGTGCTCCGCACGATCCCTGCACGGGTCGCGGCGCTGGTGAAGCCGCTGGAGTATCGCGCGCAGCGCGGTCTCCGGTTGGAGCGGCTGGAGTGGGAGGATCGGGAGTGGGACATGACGTTGAGGTTGGAGTTCCCCCCGTCGGCGGTGGTGAGGACGTACATGCCGGGCCCTGCGCTGTTTGACCAGGAGGAGCTCGAGAAGCTGGTGGACGGGCCGGTCGTCTTCGGGGGGTTCACATATCAGGAGATGGTTGGGTAGACTGCGTGCTATTATCTGGACGGATGTATGTACTCGTTGCAAACTTTGAGTCTGTGCACGGATCGGATCCATGTACGGATGGAATCAAGCCAGTGCGACTCGCAGATCCTTTGCTTGCCCGTCGAGCGTGCACCACAGGAAGTCGGCCCGGCTGGGGGAGGCTGAGAGTACACGACGAAGGGCAGACGCGTCGGAGGCGAAGACGCTGGGAGTGCGGGAGGTGATCGGCGACAGGGATATGCAGACGGTGCAGTACTGATATTCTGAAGGCGGAAGCAGACGGACAGACAGCAGAAGGTGGATAGCACGCGCACTAATGGGGGGCGTAAGCCTGCACATCAGTACTTCCCCAAATATCTCAAACTATCTGATCTCTGACACATCTTGCATGAGAGGTTTCAGACAGGTGAGAGGTGATCAGATGTTTGAGACAAATCTCAGAGAATTCAGATGACTGGGATTGACACACAATACACATCCAGAAGTGCTAGAGGTGAATCACTGTAGGTGAGATAACATCACTGAGACTACCGCTTTATTGATGATTCACAATGATGTGGAAGTGTCGGGAATGAAATATATTGGGAACTAATGTTATCTAACTACACTGGTAACGAAGATGGACCGTACAGACATGGCAGGAGACGCGGGCGTGGGTGACACAGGCAAGGTGGCAATGCGGGCGAGTGGGCGGGGGACATGACATGGACGCAGGGAGGTGGGTGACGCTGGTGACGTGGGCGACACCAATGGGTCGGACGGACGACGTGGGTGAGGACGATGTGGGTGCGGGCGACGCGGATGTGGGCGAGGTCTGCGACACGGCGACACGGGCGAGGTTGGTGGTACAGACGTCGGCGCGGGGACGACACAGATACAGGCGAGCGATATGGGCCGACAATGCAGGCGACGCGGACGTGGGCAATATTGACGTGGGCGAGGTGGGTGACGCGGGCACGAGCAGGCAGATGCAGGCGGGGTAGGCGAGGCGGACGAGGGTGACGTGGGCGAAGTGAGCGACACAGGTGAGCGAGGCGGACGACGTGGATGCGGGCAAGGTCGGCGAGGTGGACGTGGGTGCGGGAACGACGCGGACGCGGGCCCATGCGGTACGCAGACACCAGTGTCCGTGGGCAATCCTCCGGGCGTATCGTAGTGGCCCATGCCTGCGAGGTCGCGCCGTCGACGGGGAGACGAGATGCGGATGTCTCCCGCGAGTGAGCCACCGGCTGCGGGATGTCGAGCGAGGACGCGGGCGCGAGACAGGAGAGGCGGGCGAGGTAGGCGACACGGAGTCGCGGACGAGGTGGGCGGCACGGACACGCGGGCGTAGTGGCAACGGCCGCGCAGGGGAATGAGCATCCCGTGGACCCGTGCACGCCCGTTGGGACGCATCCGACGTCGCGGGGAAGGGGTCGGTGGCGTGGCCGGAGTCTGGGAGGCAGTGGGCGAGGCGAGGAACGCAGGAGGGCACAACGGGAGACTCACCAAGACCAAGGGGGCCGCAACAGCTCGTCGAGGAAGCGGCGGGCGAGGGGCGCGTTCGCGTGCTCATCGGGGCTGTTGCGCCAGGAGGAAAAGACGGGGAGGGTGGGGAGGACGGAAAGGACGAGGAGGATGGGGTGCCAGCGGAGAGTGGAGGAGGAGGAGGTTGTCGATGGGAAAGACGCGCTGGCAGCAGCTCCAGACGTGTGGGAATCGACGCAGGACCCCCGACATCTCCCTCAGATGCCTGATCCCAATTTTCGAAAAAGCGCCAAAAATGTCCTCGGGGATCAGGCCTCCCGGCGACCCCGTTTTGGTCGGACGGCCGCAGGCCTCGGCCGTCCAGAGGCTGATTTAGTCGGATTTTCGGAACAGGCCTCCGGAGGGCCTCAAAATGTCCGGATTCCGCTCGAACAGGCCTCTGGAAGGCGATTTTTTTGTCCAGGAGACCTCGGGGCTTCTCAGAGCACGAGGAGAGACATTTAAGAGTTGTAGCAACTTGTGAATACAGGAGATCATTGACGAGAACATAGGGGCATAGACTCGCAGTGGCTACTGTAGCCTAAGCGCCCTCGTCCTCCCCCCACGCACTTCTCCTCTCGCCTCTTTACAGGACCTCCCATGGTTCCTCTACGTTGACCCCTCGCCCTCGCCCTCGCCCTCGCCCTCGCCCTCGCCCTCGCCCTCGCCGACGCTCGCCCTCGCCGCGCTCATGACCGCGCTTCATGCACACCTGCACACGCCGATCGCCGCGGACGACTACAACGCCTCCGCGCGGGTGTGTGTCGCGAGCGCGTGCGGCGTGCGCGGCGGCGAGTGATGATGCAGATGGCGCGCGTGCCCAGGACCCGGAGGGCGTGCTCGACATCTGTCGGACCGACGACCTGACGGACCGCAGGATGCTGTGGGGGCTGTGGAAGGTCTCGAGCGGGGAGGGCGAGGAGGCAGGTGAGGGCGTTGGGGGGACGCGGGTTCTGGGAGGTCTTCGTTGATGGCCCTTAGGGCGCGCACGTCATCACATTGAATGCACAGGTCTTGACGGTTAGGTTACTCGATAGTCCAGCATGCGGGTGAGAGGGTTGGGAGAGCATGGCCCATGGCACCTGTACGCATCGAGAGACCCTTGCCCGCCGACCTGCCCGGGTCACCTGCGCCCGTGGCGATCCCTAATCGTCCTCTCGATCTACCCGCGCTTTCTGGGTCCTCGGCCAACTTTCGAGCCGTCGTCCGTGCCCTCGCGTTCTCGTTCTCGCCCCGGATCTGAGCCAGGGTGGACCAAACGAAATCTGTGGCATCTGCACCTGGCGCGCGGTCAAACGGACGGCCCGTCGATTCCCGGAAGCACACTGTGGGGAGATTAAACTGTATTAGGTCTTGAAGAAGTATGCTGCCTCTGGCGGAGTCTGAGTTCAGCTCGCTTTCTGTATTTACTTGCGGGCAGTAGAATATCATTATAAACAGTTCAGTCGATGCAGCGTTCTTACGCGCGCACCGGCGACTCACATAAGGTGGCTGCCATTGGTCGCGCAGTCAGTCGCCCACTCCAACTGCCCTCCGGGGACCGCCCAAAGCCGCCCGACCGTCCGTTGAGGATCAGGCATTTGAGGAGCCCCCGCCCTAATGGTCGGATGATGGCTCAGGCATCGGCCGGTCGATACCCTGGAAAATGTCCGACAAGGCCTAAGCGCCTACAGGCATCGAGCCCGCGAAATCGCCATCAATGTCCGGATTCGGCTCAGGCATTTAGGTGAGATGTCGGGGGTCCTATCGACGCGCGTTGCGTGGACTCCAGCGCTTGGCACTGCCAGCACTCTCCTCGTCCTCGTCATCCTCTAGCCTCCCCTTACCCGTCTCGCCCTTGCACCCCTCGTCTGCCTCGCACTCGCCCGTCTCGCCCTCCCCACCATCTTGCCCATGTCAATCCGCGTCATCCGCGTCGCCTACTTCCCCCGTCTCGCCTGCGCCCCGCACCTCGCCTCACCTCCGCCTTGTCCGTCTTGCCCGCCTGTCCCGTCTCGACTGCCTCGTCCGTCTCGTCCGTCTCGCATGTCTCGCCTTTGCCTGTCTCGCTCTCGCCCTCACCGTCACCCCGTCCGTGCCAACGGCGTCACGCCCGCGTCATCGATGTCGCCACGTCGCTCACTTCAACCGCCTCGCTCTCGTGTCGTACGTCGCCCATCTCGCCAACCTTGCCCACATCTGCTGCCCCGCTCATTGCCCTCCCGCGTCCAAGGACGGAGGCCGTTTCGCCCATCTCGTGCGCATATCTTGCGGACATGGGTGTGGCCTTGACCATGCCCCTCGATAACAGTAAGTGCCCCCATCCATCCACGCGGCCACACAATTCCTGACCCCTCATTGCGCACACGCGCACCACCGACGTGGGACAGTATGATGAATCCCGATCACAACACATGTGGACACGTGCACGCATCGGGCTCACACGCCAGCCCTCCGCGTCCCTCCACACGTGCGACAGTCCCCGGCCCCTCCTCGCCCTTTCCCGCGCCCCTTCCCGCGCCGCCCATGACATCAGAGAAACGCCGTACATCCACGCCCACGTTCACTCAGCCGCTGCCGCCACGAGCTGCTGCCAAAAGTGCGATCGCACGCACGCACCGAGCGCGATGCCCCTCCTCCAGACGTGGGCGACGACGACCCGCCGTGGTGCCCTCAAAGCCACCGTCGCTAGTGCTCAGCCCACGCCCTTGAGCTCCTCGTCTCGCCCACCGGGTCCCCCACAGGTGGATGGCGCCGGGTTTAGATTCACGACAGAGCGGAGTGCAGACATGGTGCAGCATTCGACGTCGCCCCCGCATGGTGGTGGGAGTGCACATTCGCCGACAGGTGAGTTGTACTACACGCTGCCGCTATCACTCGCGGCACGCGCAAGGGCAAGGGCCGCACGATTTCGCCGCGAACAGATTCGTCACGTGTGCGTGCGCTCGAACCCCGCCCTGGGCAACACACCCATCGGGTGAGTCCTGTAGCAGCCAAAGGACGCGTTTGTGTGAGTCCAGCTCTCCGGGCACTGCCATGCTGGCACGCACGCGCGACTATACCGCGCTGAGCCGCCCAAGGACTCTGACGGCGTATTTAGTGTACATGTGTACTGGTAGACCTAGTGAAATACAGCCATTGCCTCCGTATATGGTGTCTGAAGCGTGCATGAGTCCCGAACTCAATGTAAAAGTTGTCTCCATCTTGGACTTCTGATTTTTCTGATCTGTCTGAAATCTCTCACACGACATCTCACTAAAAATTGGAAGTAAGAGGATTTCTGGATGTCTCAAATCATCTCACAACGTCTCAGGCGTCTCCACAGAGGTTTTGAGACATTTTGAGACATTTTGAGACATTTTAGGAAGTACTGATGGATGCGGGGAAGCGAGAGGCTCAGTAACAAACTACCGAAAGCATGGAATGCGGGGAGGTGATGCAAGAGGAGTGGTATGTGCGGGGGAGCGGGGGAGGGCGCATGCAGGACGGGCCACGCGCGCAGCAACGCGGTGGCGGCGACGCGCGCGTCCCATGGGGCATTGCCGTAGACGGTGCGCGAGCGAGTCGGCGAGGTGGTTGTAATGCGTGGAGGCGAGGAATGAGGGGTGGTAGGTGCGGGGAGGATGTCGGGCCGCGCGCGCGCATCCCATGAGGGATTGTGCGCGAGCGAGTCGGCGGGGTAGTGGTGCGGGTGCATTTTTGATGGAACGGTCGGTGCGGCGCGCAGGTGGTGGAGGTGCAGTGGGTGGTTTGGCACGAGGCGCGCTGCGCGCGCGTGCGCATCACCGCACAACACGCAGATCCGGTCTCTTACTGGGGCTCCTCACACCGCCCAGAGACTGGATGTTGTCCTCGCTTGGCCATCCCTACTCCTTTTCAGGGAGGCCCATGGTGTCCTTATTCGTTTTTCAGATCCCTCGTCGTCACAGGAATCATACGAGCGTACCTTGTACAGGTGCTCGGGACATTCCTCCTGCGCCGCCTCCTTGAGCTTCTCCCAGCTGTGCTTCTTCCTGGTCCGGGGTCAGTGCGATCTCGATGTAAATGAGTTCAGTACAACCGTACCTATAGTAGAATGTCGCGGCGCCCAGTCGCGGTGACGTCTTATTTGTCGTATCACCCGGTTGGTGTTTCTTCGCATCCTCGGCGAGTTTGTCGAATCGCGTGATGTGAAAGTCGTATGTGGCGAACATGCGATACATTTCTTCGGGTCGTAGATAGATCTCTTCCTGCCAACGATATTGCCCCAAAGCATCTGAACCAGTGACATTTCACCTCTGCAAGATCGTTGTCATCGTCAGTTGTGCGACAAGGTTTCTGTGTCTACTCACTGGGAAGTATCTTTCGAATTTCATTGTCGTTCATTTGAAACAGCCATTCGAGATCTCCCCATATCCAGTCTGGGGTACGGTGAGTGTCGCCTCTCTTGCGATCTGTGTGGTCTAAAGTGAAGATCTGCGTATCCGCCTCCACGGACTTCAAGGCCTGCAGGTGGGGATCCTTCTCCTCCTTCGTCAACCGCGCCATCTTGCTGCGCGCTTCGGTGTATTTGATTCTGGTCTCCTCGCGACGAATTGCTGGCTCTTTCGCGCGTCCCGCATCCTCTTTCGATGCGTCAGGCCGACACCTTGCGAGTTAATGATACTCAGCGATTTCGCCCCTGCAAGGAGGGCGCGATATTCGTCCAAAGCTTGCTTTGCCTGCGCCATCCGTAGCTGCCGCTCTACGGCGACGATCATGTCGGTGGCGCCGTGTGTCCGGATGGAAACGTGATGGCTAGAGGGCAATTCGACCATCGACACGGCCTCCAGGTCTCGCACCAGGTTCGCGCAAGCTCGTTGGGGACGTTAGAGAGGTCTTTGGGCAGGGGCTTCTCCGTCTCTGGGTCCAGCGGGAAGCTGTTCGGGAGTTGGGCCTGCGTCGTGCGGATTTTGTTTGTCGCATGCGAGAGAGAGGGGGATACGTGAAGCTTGTATCTTTCTTCCATCTCGCTGGCCTCTGCGGCGAAAATCTGGACTTGTTGTTGTAGCCCCCTGAGCTTCCTCGGCGTATCCCCTACCTTGGGCTGCATCAGTTCTTCCAACAGACACGTCCTGGACGCATCTCGTGAGATCCCCACCCCTCGTGCGTCGTACGATACACCCACCTTTCATCCTCCAGCTTGATGGCGTCTTCAATGACACCCACGGAGTCCTTCATCTCGTCGTCGTCGACTGGAGCCGCAGTCTCGAGCTTCTCCTCGCCCGAGTGTAGGCGGTCTGCGGTGGCTTCCATCGTGGATGCTGGTGGGTGGTCAGTGGCCTCCTCGCAAACACAACGGCGTCACGGGCTCACAGTCTTCCTTCAGCTCGAAGGGGTTCTGAAACCCCTCCATCTTGCGTTTGTCCATGTCCACCACCTCTTCTTCCCACGTCTTAAACTCTCCTTTCCACTGCTCCAGAAGCTCTGGTCGATGTTTCTTCAGGCTGGCCTCGAGGCCTTCGTAGTACCGTTTCTGGTCTTTACAGCATTCCACCGCGACGTCGTATAGGTCTCTCTGGGTTTGCGCTACATCCATGCTGTGGTCAGTTACGTGCAGCGCAACATGTGAGAGGTCTGCTCACGCTGGTGGATGATCTTCTTCATGTTGATGTCGTCGATCGAACGCGTCAGCGTGTCTATACGATGTGCGTGCCCCATCTCCTTCGTGCGACTCGTGACCCCGTTCAGTTGAGCCCAGAGGGGCTCCGGGTTTTCGCCAGCCGTTCGAGCGCTCCCATGACGAAGGTTGGGTTGTGTCTCATATGACATTCTGTCTTGTGCGCTCCTATGTGGAAGTCGCCGATGGCCACTTCGATCTTCGGTAGGTTCTCACTGTTCAGGTCCCCCGGGCTGCGGCGCCTCTTGCACAGTCGCTTTTGCAGGTTGACGTCGAACATGCATCCCACATCATCCCACATCTTCATTCTCAGCAAGGCGTGGTATGGCGCCCACGCCGACATCATGGAGAAGTCTACCATTGCAAACCTGATCTCCACGTCAGTGACGTGTGTCTTGGTGTAGCGCGCGCACGTACCGTTCTCCCTTCGACAGGTTGACGGCGCTCCCACCCAGTACTAAACCGTGTTGGCAAACGCCCACACTAGGCCAGCGACCGTTCCTGTGTGGCCAGTGTAGCCCGCGGCTTTGAATGTGTGGCAAGTCAGAGGCTTTCGACACATCAGCTCACGCGGTGTGCGCACACGTATCAACGGGCCTTCTCACCTCTTTGTCCTCCTCTCCGATCAGGTTCAAGTGCTTCTCCAGGTCTTTGCTGTCTGCAAAGTAGCTCGCACCACGGTATAGGCTCTGGTCCTCCATATCCACCTTTTTGGGTCGCGTATGTTGACGAAAGTTGCCGTCCCATACGAGGTACATCAGGAAAACCCTCACTTGCTAATTAGAGAAAATTCGCTCTAATTAGTGCTCATTAGCAAGTCTTCTCTAATTAGAGCGAATTAGAGTTGCACATTGCTAAGGCATCTAATTAGAGCTAATTAGACGCAAATTAGATCTTCATGAGCTCTTCATTAGCTGCAAGGTAGATCTCAAGGAGCACTCAACAAGGGCCTAATATGCTCACACAATGCACTCAATAGATCACACAAATGCATAAGAGGAGCAAACAAATTTATATTTATCATGCTACAAGGTACAAAGTACAAACTACATATGATGACGCAGACACTGGGTATAACGGCCTCTCTGTACATACCCAGTGGGGGCTGAAAGGTGCAGGTGACGTGGGTGAGACGTGGGCGACACAGATCACGCAGGCGAGAAGACGGATAAAGTGGGCGGCCATCGTGAAGCCGGACGAGACGGTCAACATGTGCGAGGGCGATGCGGGCGACGATGAGGCGGCGGGGTCAGCACCGTCAGACCGGGGCAGTGAGCATGCGCGATTGCTCAGGGCAGTTGTGGAGGCGGGCTGGCGGGAGTGGTCCGCGAGCCGCAGCACTGGGAGCTCATGACTTCAGATCAAACACTGAGGATCGGGACGGTTACACTTACTTAGCAGACTGAGAGCAAGTGGGCGCGGAGGCAGCCAGCCAGCGCGACCAGATGTGCGGGTGTTCACCGCGTGGCAGTCCGATTCGTCGAACGCCCACGCGGTCGCTGAGCGATGTGTGGCTCGCCTTGCAGCACGCCCACCGCGCAAGGGCGTCTTCGTCCTGCTGCGCGTTGCTCCCGATGGTGTGCACGAGCGCGAGCACAAGCCCGGATTGTGTGCTTGAACGTGGCGTGGTTCAGCACGAGGACCTGTATGGCCCCGGCAGGAGAGCGCGTGGAGGACGGGGCAGGGCAGAGCGAGCAAAGGCGATGCTGGGGTGACGCGGACGGTCGGGGCAAAGGGTGCTATGTGCGGGATGGGTGGTTGAGATCAGCACAAGCACGAGAAAGTAGTGGAGAAGACACACAGGAGATGGTTGTGGCGTGATACAGGCGCGGGTCGATGACGGCGACTTGGCCGGGGAGGGAAACCAGCCGGTGACGGTGTTAATGAGAGGGAGATGCTTGTCCGAGGTATGGGATCACTCACTTCACAATGATAGATACCATCAAATGAGGTAGAATCGGCGGCGATGAGGCGTGCGGGAGAGGAGAGTGGTAGACGGAAAATGAGACGACGATGCGCAGGAAGAAAGGAGCTCACCGGATTAAAGCCACTACGTGGCGAGCACACGCTGTCGCAGAGGGTATCCTTGGACGAGAGGAGGGAGCTGGGAAGCCAGTGAACGTGCGTGATGATGATTCATGCGTGCTTGTACGCATGGAGCATGGGAGGCTGGCGTGGTCGATATAGAGGGGATTGGAAGGTGGTAAGGGTGAGGGTGAGCCAGAGAGCGAGCGCGGCGAAGTTGCCGCAAGCGCGGAGTCCAGGTGACGCGCGTCCGTTCCCACGCGAAAGTGGCGCCTGCCAGCGTGTCTTTCCCTTCCCCCGTCCCTCATTGTCCGCCGCCTGGCCATCGACTGCAGCATCAACCGCAATCTGCGACGTGTCCGATGCGGCAACGTTATATGGAACAGGTACGTCCACCGCGTTCGTCTTATCATCGACCGCCTCCCTCGCGCCGACGTGTGCGAGCCTCCCCCTTCAGCGAGCCCGAGCTCGTCCAAAATAAAGCCCCCTACCGATCCCAGCCACTATAACCATGGCCGCAGTGCACACAAAGAGGTACGTTGGTACGATCCCGTTCTTCGCGCATCCTGCTCACGCCCCAGCCCCGGTTTCCTCCCTCCGACATCCTCTAAGACCCGTGCCCTGTACACGGCCAGCGCCGATCCTCAGTCGTCGACACCACGCCCGACGCACCTCGCGATCGATATGACCCGTTGGTCGCCGACTCGCCGTGCCCGATATCATGCGATTGTGAGTTCATCGCCCACCCCACTCTTGATGCTGGTATGCCTTCCCCTTCCCCCCTGCCCTGAGCTCGCTCGCTCGCGCTCATTCCACCACACCGCCCTCAGGAATCATGCACCCGCGTTACCCCGAGCAGGTCGCTGCCGGTCCGTATCCATGAGCTCGGGGACCTCCGCCGCTAGCTCGAGGTCAAGAATTGCCCCGCTAACGCGCTCCACCCAGGACGTCGACCACTCCTCTTCCCCCAACTGCTCGCAGTACGAGCTCGTCAAGCTCAAGAACGAGCAGCATGACGCTGGTGAGCACGTCTTCGCTCTGCGTCACACCCAGCGTGAGCTTATGGCCCCGTCGCCACGTCACGCCCGCATCGCCCACCTCAACCACATCACCTGCGTTATTCACCTTGCCCGCCTCACTCGTGTCGCGATCTCGGCCACCGCACACCTCGCCCGCGTCGCCTATCTCGCCCGTGTCGCCCTCTGCTCCCACACCGCGCGCGACCGCGTCGCCCACTTCTTCCGCATCGTCCATATCGCCGTCTTTGCCCACCTCGCGCGTGTCACCCGCATCACCCACTGGAGCTTTGTGAGTCATTTGCGAATCTTGCTGAAATCGTTCCTAACCAACGTCGTGGTGCACGAACACACCAGCGTGCATGCCGGCTCAAGTACAAGTGGCACTCGACATACGCGCAGACGAGCCTATTCGACTCGCGCCTGAGGGTAGCCGGCCTGCCGTTCATTCATCCACCCCTCCTAACACAACCGCCTCGCCCCCGTGGTCCGCCCACCCGCGTCACCTACTTTGCCCACACTGTCACCTCGGCCATGTCGTTCATCTCGCTCGTTGCACACACCTCACCCGTGTTGCGTGACACGTCCGCGTTTCGCCCCCGCGTCGCCCGCACCCACATCGCCCACACCCGCGTCATTCACGTCGCCATGTCGCCCACGTGCCTCGTCTGTGTCGCTCGCTTCCCCTTGCCAGGTTATCCATGTCGCTAGTGTCATCCATGGTCACCCATCTCGTCTGATCGTCCATATCGCCCGCGTCGCCGCCCACCTCGCTTGTTTCGCCCACGTCACCTGTGTCATCCGTATTGGATTCTTTAGTCGAGTGGCTGTATGCCTGTCTGTCTTGTGGTCTTTAGTCTTTACTCTGTATCTCGTAGTACAACAAATATAGATCTTCTCCTTTACCTTTGTGTGATCTATTGAGAGCATTGTATGAACATATTAGGCACAAATTGAGTCCTCTTTGAGATCTATCTTGCAGCTAATGAAGAGCTCCTGAAGATCTAATTTGCATCTAGTTAGACCTAATTAGATGCCTTAGCAATGTACTACTCTAATTCGCTCTAATTAGAGAAGACTTGCTAATGAGCACTAATTAGAGCGAATTTTCTCTAATTAGCAAGTGGGGGTTTTCCTGATGTACGGTGTGTCGAGGTATCTGGCCCTGGATGTTAGCGGTGTTCTCCCGCAAGTACGAAGCACGCACTGGTATTTTTTATCCCTGTTTTGGTAACCTGGACGCATATTGATGCCCGGCTGTGGGCACAGAGGGCACGCCAACGCCAACGTGTTCCTCTCCAGAGGTTTCCCGGCCTCTGGTACCACCCCGTGCCGCATGCACGTCATAAGGAAGTTGTATTCTCGCATCGCGGTCAAGAGTTGCCTTGCGCGGTCCTGGTTAGACGTCAGACCGCGAACCAGGAGTAGCAGAAACTCGCTCACGAGAGTGTCCAATCTTGCGATCTCGTCCGTCAAACGTGTGAGCACAATGAAGAGATCGTGCATGCTGGACTGGGCTTGAACGAGATTCGCGTCGAGAATCTTTAACGCGTTGAGGGTGTATGCGGTGCCAACATTGTTGGACCACGATCCTGGGAATATACCATGTTCCAGCAGACGAAGAGGTCGTTGAAGCGTTTCTGCCCCGCCCCTGCATCTGTTCACGTGGGGCGTCAGTTAGGCGTGAACGGTGTCAAAAACATCACCACTTACTTGCAGTAGCAGACCTTGTAATCGACGCAGAACCCGTGCTCGTGGATGATGGTGAGCGGCGTCTCTTGCGACGTGGCTGCGCATTTGCTGCCGTCAGGGTGCCCGATGACGATGATATCGCCCAAGTTGCATAGTGTTGTATTCAGCCAGGTTTGTTTCTGTGTCTTCCATTCGAGCAGGCGATGGAACGGTGTGAAGTGGTGCCATTTCTTGACGCATTCTGTGCAGAAAGCGGGGCTCGGAATGCAATCTTCGCACGAGAAGCGAGCGCTGAAATTAGGGAGTGGCGTTTCAATGCCTTTTAGCTGGCACACGTCACACAGATCGTCTTTATGCGGTGGCTGCAAGCGTTCGAGAAGGGCTCTGAGTGTGTTCGGGATCATTTTCTCAAACTGCGCGGTGCGTTCGTTCGGTGGCTGGAGTATCGTGTCACATGGGGTATATCATCTCTTCCAAAGGGTCACTCACGATGGTGTTGTTGGCCTTCGGGCCGCTGCGCTCGTCATCCAATGGTGGGGGTTGCGGGCCAGCGTGCGATGTGTCGTCGAAGTTTGATGTGTGAGGCCCTGAATCCGACTGGACCCCTTTCGAGCTCGTCGCTTCAGCCTGGGAGGGCGCACTGGGTGCATACATGTCCGCTTGTGTGGACCGAGGACGCTCCGGACTCATCTTTCAATGCTTCCCCATGTCGCTGGGCCCGAAGAGACTCACGTCTGGGCCTCGCAGCTCTCCGTTTGCCTTTTTCTTCCTCTTATAGTTCTTCGTCATGGCAGAGTTATCCCGGTTCCGCGATATACTACGGTGAGGGAGAGGAGAAAGGGTGGTGTATGGAAGTGTCGAGGTTCGATGTCGAGGACCGTGAAATAGGGGGGAGCACACTGAGGTCGACGTCGGGGCACCGGGGCAAGGGACGATAATTTCAGCGGCCACGGACAACGTCGAGATCTCAGGAGTACAGCTGAAGCCAGGGAGGACGGGAAGGTGATGTCGGACGTCGTCGAGAGCAAGGGTTTCGGCCGGTCGGGACGCTTCCGCATCCGCCGGCCGTTGTCGTCGTTTTCACATGGCTTTCCTCGCAAGCTCTCTGTTTTGCCTCCGTTGATCAGGAGATCAATGGAGGCTCAATTTAAGCGTTTACGGCTATGCAGTATACATGCACTTTTAATTTACACGTCCGCCACCCCAATCCCCACGGAAAGTGACATCAGATACTCGTCTCACTCGTTCTGAGCCGTCTAGGTGATCAATTATGTTCAGAGGACATAGCCTGCCAGCCAGCGGCCACATACACGGTGGTACACAGTAGTTCTTGTCCTGCGCAGCCGGGAACCATGGGCCCCAACGCGTTTCTGTCATACTTTGTCTGGATGCTCATCACTGCGCAGCACAGCGAGGCATCCCAACCTTGAGCCCGTTACCACCTTGTGCTCGGGAACATAACCCAGGCGTACTTTGGCGTTACGGAGCAAGTGGTGCTGGCGTCTGATCGGACTTCCTCAACCGTGGGACGCCGGATTGCATCTAGGCGCGGAAACGTCACACGCCCGTGTTCGACTTCTCTGTCGTCTTCGTCGTGCGCATTTCTCGTTTCCTTCTCTTGAACCCATCACTAGGTAGGCTCATCCTTGCTACATCTTCTTCGTCGTTCCATTGGTGACTCCGAGTGTTACGCTTGGGTCCCTCTGTTCCCGGACGTGCACTGCCAGTGCTTTCTGGATGTGCGCCGTCCGTTTTGCACTTGTAGACGAGGTCCGTGCGTGGAGTGCTATGCTCCGCGTGGACTCGTTCGAGGTCGCACGCATCCCAGTTCGCTCTGGGTAATGGCCTTCCACCACACTTGTGGCCTCGGGGGCGTCACGTTCATCGCGCTTGTCGTGGAATGGACTCTGGACTCGCCCTATGTATTATTTTTCGCCTTTTCCTTGCCTTTTCCCTGCCTTTTACTATATTGGAAGGTTGTTCCCGCGCTTAAGCGCCCGTATCGCGGACTCTCTTAGCACTTGCACTTCGTGTCCTAGCCCTCATCTCGACCTCTTGGTCTTTGTGGGCTAGGTGAGTATCTCGATTGCCTGTATGTCTGTAGAGCTATGTTAACTTGGTCTTTGTGGGCTAGACATCCCTCGCGTGACTCTAGTTTGCGTCTGCTTTGCGCCTAGTGCCGGCAACGCCTCTGCACCACTACATCGAGGTCATCCAACCTCCATCTCTACCCATCCACCCCTCCCTCTCCTCCGATTGGCGTTCGCGGCCCGCTCCCGCGTCAGCGCTGACGCTTTCCGTCTTTGACATCAGTGTTCATCATGCCCACCCCAGTCAACAACGCTGCATCTCAGAAAGATGTTCTCGCGTCGTCCGTGCGAGCGGTGCTCGTCGTCAACCAGCGAAGTCCTTGTCGGTCCGCTCCTTCTTTACTGATGCATTGTCTCATTGTTATCAGGTCCCAAAGTCACGCACCCATTCGATGCCAAATCAGCGTCCACCGACGGTTTCTCGACAATTGTGGTGACGTCCCCAAACCAGGACTGGATTCCCACCCATCCCGTAGAGTGCAAGGTGGTGCGAACGTACCAGGACGGTCTGTGGGGCGAACACGAGTACTCCCGCTGGCCCCAGCCGATTATTCGCGGCATGTGGCACGTCGCCTGCATCCCTTCACTTCGTCATCCTCACCCTCTCATGCCCCCTATCCTCTGGTCGCTTCTGATGCCATCGCGAGACTGGGTGGAAGACGGAACAGTGGAGTCCCCGGCCTAGGTTTCCTCAAAGCCGACGTTCGCAATGACCTCACCAATGGCGCACGCTACGCCACCGACGCCTTTCAACAGGTCTCTGGCCTTACCCGGAACACCGAGCGTATGGCGACCAACTCTGCCTCGTCGTCAGCCAGTGCCTCGACCGCATGAATCGTCTGCCTTCGTACGCACCCGTGGCCGTTGCCGTGGGCGCGCACCTTCAACACGTCGGCTTGGAGCTGCTTGGTCTGCGCACCTACCTCACGGTGTTGCTCCCCCGTCTGGACAGCACGGAGGACTACAGCGAGACTTGCTTCCGGTTCTTGGCGTCTTTGCGCGCGACGCGGCCACTGCTCAGCTGGCGACTTGTGTCGGGCTGCCCGTTTGGTTTCTTCAGCCACTCTCCCCCCAGGTCCAGGTGTGGAACGTGGTCGACCGCACTTTCCCTTACTTCCTGTCTGGTAAGGAAACCGATCCACCCATGCGCCACCATCCCGACGAACTCGGAGCGATCGCCAATCTCATGAGCAGCTGGGTCTTGAACCTCGTCTTCGTCGTCACCGGTCAATTGTGCACTAGCCGCCTGCCACGTTTTGATGTCACCGCCACGGACACGCACACTCGGGAGGACAACGGTCCCATGAAGACCCAACGCCTGGAGCTGCCTGCCACCGAAATGCAGGCACCTCCGACGCGCCCCGGCGACGGCCCGAAGAAGAAGACCAGGAGGGGCGGGAAGAAGTCCAAATCTGTCGTAACGAGTGCCGCGTCGTCGTCCGCCATCACGCTCGATCACTCTCCCGAGGCTCGCCATCCAGCAAGATCCTTCACCCCGTCTCCGTTCGTCCTCATCCCTGAGCCTTGGGAGGCGGCGCTCCGATCAGTCAGCCCCCTGGGGCAGCCGCGACACTCCGTGCATTACTTCTACCCCCCGCCTTTCTTGCTCGACACGGTGTCGGATATGACGCCATCGCTCATCCCACCCGCCGGCGCCGACCAGCTGCGACGCGATACCAAGGTGCATCAATACCTCCACAATGCCATGCGCATCCGTGAGTTCTGCCGACTTCGCCTGCTCAATCCCCTCGTTTCTGGGGAGCCTCTGACGATCGCGGAATGGCGCGCTGCGTTGTGGGGTGACTATGAGGTGAAACATGCTCCCCCCGAAAGCACCGACCGCCGCCTCAAGCACAAGATCGAGAATAAGAACGGGGTAGCGCGTCTTTTCGGCAACGGCGCAGCCCTCGACTCATACAACTCCTCCGCGGTGGAGCACCTGAACGGCATCGCTGTGACTGCGGAAGTTGCGGCTACTGATCCCCGAGTCCGAGCTTTGCTGCTTTGGGAGTCCCACGAAGTCAACTTCCGGTGCGAGCTCAGCGCTCTCGACGTGTCGCTCGTGCCTCGGGCCGCGATGTCGGTCATGGAGCGGTGGGGAAGGGAGGCGTATGTCTCTGGAGTGTGGGGACCCGAGGCTTCTCTCGCGAGCGTCGTCCCGTGTTTGGCCCCGGGTAGCGAGCCCTTCATGTGGCCTCGATCTCATGACGGCGAGTGGGAGAACTCGGTCCTTCATCTGCGTCGCTTCATCTCGGTGATGTCTCAGTGGCCTGATTCTCCCGGTGTTCTCCGTCAGATGCGTACTGCAGTGTCTTGGACCTCGGAAGACTACGATCACCTGCAACGGGAGGCTGCGCTTTTCTACGTTACAAAGTTTACGTCGTGTTACGGGAGACTCCCCATCCCTCCCATCCCCTGTCAGACGGACTGATGTCTTAGCGCTATGACATGTACGAGAACTCCGAGGTCATGTGTATGTAGTTGAGCTGCGAAATCGGATTCTTCTTTCCTTTCAAGATGATCACCATCAGGACAGTCGACTTCAACGAGCTCAATGCCTACGTCCTTCTGAATCTCCTTATGAATCACACTCTCGCACGGCGCTAGCACCCGGAGACGGAGCCCAAACACAGTATCATGCGTAAGGTTCGTACTTCCCTCACCTCAGGGTACACTGGCTGACTCTCATAACAGTAGTACTACACCAAGGCTCGCTATGCAGCACATGGTCGCCGCCTGGCCTGAAGATTAACTGTCCCGCTCCTTTGTAGCTTCTCCGTGAGGTTTTAGGAGCGACCCGCCATTGTTACGTTGGCGCTGAACCAGACGCGGCTGAAGCCTTTGGTGGGACGAGATCACGTGAGTGCGGAATCTCGTTGTTTTCGAAATTTTATCTTCCCCTTTCCCCTCCCCTCAGACATGCCGCCCTCTCAGAACGGCAAGGCCGCCAAGGCTCGTCGTCGCAAGCCTTCACTCCTTCCTTCTGACGAGGCGGCGAAGGTCAAGATTCGTGGTTGCAAGCCCAGTGCTCCGGAAGTCACCGAAGATATCCAGGGTTGGCTCTCCAAGCAATGGACCAGCGATCGCATCACTCCACTCCTGACCAACCCGAACAAGACTTTGGCCCCTAAGGAGTACCTGTCCCCCGAAGATGCGGAGAATCTGGCGATCCAGCACGTCGGCATCAACGAGGCCATCGCCGACGTTCTCACTCGTCTCTTCAAGATGGACCCCCTCGGACGGCGTCAGGAGCAGGAGACGGAGTCGCAATACAACGCAAGGCTCAGTGTTATTCGTAAAGTCCGTACTTCCCTCACCTCAGGGTGCGCTTACTGACTCTTGTTGCAGTAGTTCTTGACCAAGGCGAGCAAAGCCCATCACGCAACACCATGCCCCGCCCCGGTCGTCGTCATTGATCTCCCTTCCGTCAATCGCGTCCCCCAGAAGCGCCAGCCCGTCCATATCTACGCCGCACAACGTGCCGAGCAGGACAAGCGCGCTCGGGAGAGCACAGCTGGGCAAGTCATCAGCGTTCAAGATGACCTGGGTGTAAACGGTGACACAACCAACTCGGAGCTGGCCTTCGGTGGTGAATGGGAGCAGGACGATGTTGGCGATGCCTCCGTGGCAGAGGCGTCTGGCAACAAAGGTAAGAGGCAAGGCGTCATTCACGAGATCATGAAGGAGTATCGCGACGAATGGAACAACCTCTCTCAAGAGGAGCAGCAACCTTACATCGATGCCGCTCAGGAAGAGACGGCGAGGAGGGTTGAGGCGATGAAGAACGGTGATAAGTCGTTGTGAGTACGTCCTTCGCATTTTGAGTTGCAGCGAGATCATCTCAACATGTAGTGCTCGCGATATGCTCCCCGAGTCCACGATCAAGTTCCATGAGGCCGTGATCAAGGCTACCGACTGTTTCGTCACCACTATCCTGTGCGGGCCTAACGACTCCGGCGTCAAGGTTGAAATGTGAGCCGTGTTCTTTTCTCACCGCCTCTAACGCTAACGTGCCATCCAGCATTGAGAATGGGGTCTCGAGGACGAAGGAGACCCTCTGGACGTATCTATGCACAAGGCTGAGAATATCTACAGAGGAACTGACGTCCCTGATCTATGTGTGGGCTTACTCCAGCATAAATGGTGCGTCACTCTTCGACTCCCTGTTCCACGTCTGATATCGGTTTTAGCGGAGCAAACCAACGAAGTCGTGACAACCGTCTGTCAAAGCGGCGTGCCGCCAAAGTCGCACACAAGCGGTGAGCACTTTGGCAATGACTCAGTGCTTTCTAATCATTGTCGTTACTTCGTTCAGGCGACACCTCCGAAGGTGGCTCGGTCCCAGATGAAGAGCACGCGGCCATGAGCGAGTCCGCGACCCGTACGTCGTTGTGAGATACTTATGAAGCCGCATCCTAAAGCGCCTGCTCGTGTAGCGGACTTCCTCCTAGATGTTGATGACGACCCCCTCAACATATCACAACGTATGTGGTTTCGTTTGCCACGTCGGAGTCACCGCCTCATAGTGTGTTCCGATGAGGTACTAGCATGGATGATGGACCCTGATGCGTTCCACGAACGCCTCTCGTCCGCGTTGTCGTCCACGCTAACACGCATCTCTCGTGCAGTTGATCTCCCTGAGGAGGACGTCGTCACGCATGCGACTTCCCA